CCCAAAACTCACTCCGCCACTCCTCCACTAACCTTACGCCTTTCCAGTGTGTGCTAGGTTATCAGCCGGTCCTGGCACCTTGGCATCAGAGCCAAGTGGTGGCTGGTCCACTCCAGGAGAATGAGATTCGAGAGGCTCCTCCGCCCCCGTTGGACATCGAGGGGGCTCCGGCGTACTCAGTCCGTTCCATCTTGGATTTGAGGCGTCGGATGGGGGGCCTGCAGTACCTTGTGGAGTGGGAGGGGTACGGTCCGGAGGAACGGTGCTGGGTCCCTAGGAGGGACATCCTAGATCCCTCCATGTTGAGGGACTTCCACCGGAGTCATCCGACTCGCCCTGCTCCGCGTCCTTCTGGCCGTCCCCGAGGCCGGGGTCGGCGCACGGCTGGAGCCGCGCGTCAAGGGGGGGGGTACTGTCACGGAAGCAAGGAAGAGGCTGCCCCTCCTCCTTGCTAGGGCAGGCTTCGGCGTTCGTCGTCCCCGGAGTACTAGCTGCCACCGATCTATGTTTCGGTGTTTGTCTAGTTTGTCCTGATTGTTTGCACCTTTTTCCCATTATGTTATATTGTATTCCCTTTATAAACCCCTGTCTCTCATTGGTTATTGTGTGTGATTGTTTTCCGTTAGGTCGGCAGTGCTGGTTGTATGCGTTATTTGTTCCTCCCTGTTTGGAGGTTTGTTTTGTACTTTCTTTACTGTGTTAAGTAAAGTACGTTCTGCCAGTAGTTCGGTGTCCTGCGCTTGACTTCATTTCCCGCATACACGTCACCTTGACACCGTCATATAAAAGTAAGTAATTTACACCTGTGAAATTGCTTCATGAAAAGTCCTTGCAGTCCATCAGAGTATTATTGTACAGGCAAACATTTTATGAATGAGGGAGGAGACAGGAATGAATGTTCTCTTCTCTACCGGGTTTTACATTTTTGTCTGGCTTCACAAGAACATTCTGCCTGTGTTGTGGCGAGTAGTGTTCTTCATGTTTTTCTGAGGTACACTCTATTGTGGAAGCCCAAAGTTATTGTTTTCCAAAGCTTTGAATTTACAGCAACTCTGCCTGTGTCTTCAACATTCAACATTTCAGCTGTATTTTGCAGTATCTGTAGAGTGTCCTAACAAGTGAGTTTGTATTAGTCAGTCTGAACGAGTCTCAGGAGACATGTTCTGGTACTATGTCTGGAGGCGGATGGCTTAAGTCCTCAGAGATTTCAGTTATTTCAGTGAGCTACAGTATCTCTCTCCATCTCATGAAAATCATCTATTTTCCCCAGTCTGATATAACAGAGTCACTCAAAACCATTTGTTCCTACGGTGTATGCTACAGTTCAGTTATCAGATCGTCAGACTAATGCATGTCTTGTCTTAACATGTATCCTTCTAGAATGAATTAAAAAGAACCTTTCCAGTCATAACACATGCATTGATCAGTGAAGTATGAACTGTAGCAATGTACATACACACAGTATAGACTTAGTCCATATGAAATGGAGTCTATCTGATCTTTTCATAGTCCTAGGATACGGTATGAATAAAAAGTTGAGCGACTAAATGGCCATATAATAAAGCTTGGACAAAAGCCAATTCATTTAAACACCTTCTCAAGTCTGGTGGTTCACTTCTGACCTTGCGTCTAGAGAGTTGGAAGTGGAATAATATATTACATTTCCTTCAGATCCAGTGACCTTGTCACCCTGCCTCACCAGCTGATTGCTGCTATTCACACCAAACTTCCACAGTATGTCAGAACATTTTTGGTAACTCTCCCTATGAATACCTTCTTCATAATGCATTATCAGCACATGTATGATGCCTTATGAGCTATGCCCAATGCATGACTTAGCTAGCTGTTAATAGCTGCTCATATACATCTATAACTACATATTTTCAGTTAGTTATCATCACAAAGGCCAAGTTATCATAAGATATGTGGTGATACTGTCACTGATGATGATAATGATGGGGATATGTCATGGGCATTAACCCTTTACACTCGTACCCGTAGACAGGTTGAAAATGGCCGATTTGGGCACTGGTAAGCGCCTAAATTGGAAGAAATTGTCTGTACAGTAACATGCTATAAATGACATCAGAGCGCTGTATGGGTTTTGACTGACAGCCGTTCTGAACTTGAGCACCGCATGCGACAAGAAGTTGCCCCATCCCTCCCGCTAATTGGGAAACTTTTGCAAATGTTTGTTGTCTGAGTGAGGGAAATGTTGTAAATTAAGAGGACTCTATGTATTTTGAGACATTGAGGATGATAATAAATACCACTTTGATGTCATACAAGCAAGCCAAACACCCGCGAGTCCAAATGTGCACTTCACATTTCCATATCATAAAACTAATGTCATATATAGTGTCAACGTTTATGATCACTATGTTTGATGTACAGTTACAAGATGACATGGCGTCATACCCTGGGTTGTCCTGAACAGAATGAGCCTATGTTTGTCTATTGTAAAGACCATGCACTCATCACTCCTTTCTATGCACACCAAAATTATGATCTGTTTCCCTGAATTGCCTTGTAAAAGCCTAACACTGTAAGATCTTATTTTATAACTTAGCAAGTCATGTTGGCAATATAACAAGCTTTCAAGTGATGCCCACATGACCCAGACTGCGATTTAAAATGGGCCGTTTTTGGATTGCGTAAACAACAACAGTAATTGTGTGATGGCGGGGAAGCAGGGCTGTGTGCTTGCTCTAGTTCCTCAACGGGACAGCTAGGAGAGCTCAAAAAAGCATCTTATAGTTGAAGACTCTTCTTTGAGTCATAAAAGTGCATTGAAATTACTTTGGAGAGGTGTGTGGCCACTTGGAGACACCAGTTAGTCCATTCACGCCAACCCTTGTAATATTTTCGAATTGCTCATCGAATAGTTACAATGGCTTTGTTCTCTAACTGTAAATACTGTATAGTAGCCCGTTTGCCAGTCTCTGTTCAGCTATTATATTCCAGACATTGTACTCTGTGTCATTTGTTTAGCATGACAGGAGTGGCAAGGAGTGGAATGACAGCTAAACAGACTAGTACAATGCTGTAATACATCTGAATATTGTTAATTCAACGTGTCAATGATTTAATTGTATCTGTCCGTAAACAAATAAATAAATGAAATAACTATTTAGCAGCACTGCACACTCAACCAATTTCCCGGCTCATGCACTGACTGTAAGTTGACTAAAGCCTGGGTGGAGTGTATTAGATAATAGATGGGAGACAGCCAGGGGTAGCTGGAGATATGCAACGGTGGAGCCACTGTTTGCTGCTACTGCCTAGCCTGCCACCTCAATCTGCCTGCTTTAGCCTCAATCTGCCTGCCACCTCAATCTGCCTGCTTTAGCCTCAATCTGCCTGCCACCTCAATCTGCCTGCTTTAGCCTCAATCTGCCTGCCTTAGCCTCAATCTGCCTGCCTTATCCTCAATCGGCCTGCCTTATCCTCAATCGGCCTGCCTTATCCTCAATCTGCCTGCCTTATCCTCAATCGGCCTGCCTTATCCTCAATCTGTCTACCTTATCCTCAATCAGCCTGCCTTATCCTCAATCGGCCTGCCTTATCCTCAATCTGCCTGCCTTATCCTCAACCGGCCTGCCTTATCCTCAATCGGCCTGCCTTATCCTCAATTGGCCTGCCATATCCTCAATCTGCCTGCCTTATCCTCAATCTGCCTGCCGCCTCAATCTGCCTGCTTTACCCTCAATCTGCCTGCCGCCTCAATCTGCCTTCTGCCTCAATCTGCCTTCTGCCTCAATCTGCCTTCTGCCTTCTGCCTCAATTTGCCTGCATTAGCCTCTCTTATCAATGTGATCCATGGGCAGCCCTCCCTCTCTACTTTCCCTCTGCTGGGTTTCATATCAGCCGCTAATGGACCCAATCTGGTGCATTTTTAAGGCACAGGGACAGTGCAAGGCAGCAGTAATTGCGCTCTAATTCAGTTGAACTCCCAATATCTAATCAGACGGCTCCAAATTTCCCAGGCGAGGAGGCAACCCCAAGGACACTCGTCCTCCCACCTAATAAAGCAATTTACACCCTTTACACTTACAATCCAGCATCCAGCACGAAGGAAGGGCCCAGGACGCAGCTCAGCTCACAGATCTCCAATAATGGCAGCCTGCCTAGTACAGTATCCATGTTGCAAAGCCCAATCAAATGGTGCACTGCTCCCGCAACGCCTCCTCAGTGTTTAACCAGCCACAGTAAAGGTTTCATTGGCGAAACATACAGTCCATAGCAAATCATGGCACGTTTTGGAATGAGGAAGTAAAGCAAGCGGAGAGTACCTATAAAAACTGCTCAGGTGGGGTAGAGATGCAAAGACACCTTTGCAAAGATGACCGTTACTCTAAAAGTAAACTTAGCTCAAAGTTGAACGCAAACAAACAAAGAAGGCATGCAGCCATTTAATTAGAAACGTTGGGAGTGAACTTGTGTGGGGTCTTGGTTTCCCGTCTCCCTCCCTGGGGTCTGAAGATCAATGGGATACATATTGACCTATGGGGAGGCTTTCTTTTAATGGCATTTATTTCTACCCCTGAGCTCTGATATTGCAACCCCAGAATATTTCCCCCATCCAAGGTAAGTAAGTCACTGAGGCAGATCATGTGGATCATCTAGATGTTGTCTCTCTAAAGGCCTATTACCCTGATTCAGGGTTTAGCTCAGTGGGCTAACCAGGTCTTGTGGCATGTAGGAGATCCGAGTTCAAACCCTAGAAGGTCACAGAGGCAGATCACATGGATCATCTAGATGCTGTCTCTCTACAGGCCGATGACACCTATTCTGTACACTGATAAGATCAGAACAACTTTGTTCTGAACAAACTGCTCTGTGGTGAAGCAGACGATGACCGATGACTTTGGTGTTTGGGTGGAGAGGAGATGATGCTGGAGATAGTTGTGATGGTTGTCGTGATGGATCACTTCCCATTACAAGAATCATCCTAAATCCGGAAATTTGTTCTGCAATAGTGTGTTCATAATAAGTTGTGATCAATACTGAAATGATGTGGTAACCCTTAAAGTATAGGTATAATACTCACAGTCTAAATGGCTGTGCCGGATGCCCTCCACGTCCTCCGCATGAATAAACTGGTAACACCTCTTCCCTACAATGTCCACTGGCATCAGGTCCATGTAGTCGCTAATTCTAGAACAGGGATTTGAAAAGGATTCAGCATGTGATGACGGCAAGAGAAGAAGCACCAATGGAAACGGAGACAGATTCAAACGGCTCTTAAAATGCAATGTCATTACAGTGTAACCAGATAGAGCATTTTTCTTGTCATCCTGATATGTCAGACTAATGCCTCTGACAAAGATACAGTAAGTATTATACAAACATTCAGGGACAAATGGATATAATGGAACATAGGATTACATTTTTACATTTTAGTCATTTAGCAGACGCTCTTATCCAGAGCGACTTACAGTTAGTGAGTGCATACATTTTCATACTGGCCCCCCGTGGGAAACGAACCCACAACCCTGGCGTTGCAAGCGCCATGCTCTACCAACTGAGCTACAGGATGTCTTCCCATTTCGCGTGATAAAATGCCTATCATTTAGTATTGAATATAATCTATCTATTATTTTTTTGTTCACCCAAAAGCAATCTGTCTACTATCTGTCTTAAATATTGTGTGGTTATTTCTGATATTTCTAGTCTTCCCAAACACCCTATGAAACTCATGAAAGTAGTCCTGATCAGTTTCCTATGTTATTTACCAGAAAGGCTGAGGCTATCTCACTGTAAAACTGACTGTCCAAATGTGATTTCCCCATAAATAACTGACTGTCTGGCAGACAGGGGTAAAAAAAAACGATCTCAGTGATCTCAATCCCACAGAGATGAGGACAGGTAGCAAAGAAATATAATGTACATGATGAGGTGTACAGTATATAGGTGTGATGAGGTGATTTCGAAGGAGTCAGGCGCAGGAGGGTAAATCACAGAATAACAGGCTTTATTCTGAAACACAGAGTTACGCAGAAATGCGTCAAAAACACTGCAGTGCGCAAATCAGGCACACTGGAAAATACAAGGCACACTGGGAAATATCCCAGCGATACAAAATACACGGAGCTCCACCGAGCTTCTCTATCCTCCACAATAAACAATCACACACAAAGACAAGGGGGCAGAGGGAACACTTATACATGTACTGATGAGGGGATATGAACCAGGTGTGTGTAATAAACAAGACAAAACAAATGGAATGATGAGATGAGGAGCGGCAGTGGCTAGAAGGCCCGTGACGATGAACGCCGAAGCCTGCCGGAACAAGGAGAGATGACAGCTTCGGAGGAAGTCGTGACAATAGGCCTATTACGATAAGAGCGTCTGCTAAATGACTTAAATGTAAATGTATTACTATGAAATTACAAATACATTATTAAAGCAATTTGTAACAACACTAGCGATTAGTGTGTAACTACCTACACAACTATAAGAGCAACGTAATGCCAAGTTTTGCTGTGGAATTATTTAAGATACTCTTTGAAGAGGTAGGGTTTCAGAAGTTTTCAAACGTTACCAATGCATTTCAGTTCTGTATTTCACTGCCATGTGGGTACAGTAAAATAAAGTCAAGTCAAGTCTTACCTATTCTCACAGTAGACAATGTTGAGGTCCATGTTGACCCTGGTGACAAACATCTGGCAGTCTATGCGCACCTCGTTGATGGTGGGAGGGGGGAGGGCGTGGGCTACCACCACCATGCCCATGATCTGAATGGGTACCGACCGACTGTGGGTCAACGCCATCTGGATCCTCAGCCTGCCTGTAACATGGATCACCTATAGAAGGGAGAGAGGGGGAGACACAGAGAAAGAGAGAGACAGAGACACACAGAGAAACAGAGAGAGAGATGGAGAGAGAGAGAGAGAGAGAGAGAGAGAAAGAGAGAGACGGAGAGAGAGAGAGCGAGAGCAAAAGAGAGAGAGCGTGAGAGAGAGAGAGCGTGAGAGCGAGAGAGCGAGAGAGCGAGAGAGCGAGAGAGAGAGAGAGTTTTCAGTCCAAAATATTCTAAACACAAAATAGCGAGGGTGGAGGTGAGGACAAATGTTTTCTCCTCAAATGATATTCTACAGAAGAGAAGAGAGAGAGTTGAAGATACTAATTATCGCTAGCTTTAAAGTTTTTGCTAAGCTTTAAAGTCTTTGTAGCTCCATTCTGCCCTAGAGGAGGAACTGACTAGATATGCAAACTACACTTTCAGATCCATCCATTTTAATCACTGCCAGGTTAAACCCAGGGGGAATTGTTTTGTAGTCTTTAAACTACTGGCACTGGCCTCTCAGTGGCACACCTCTGAGATTGGTGAGACGCCATTATCATCATTCACACAGACAGATCCTGCTCCCTAAACTCATTCAAAGCCTCAGAGCCTTTCTGCCCCACCAGGGACAGGCAACCCTCAACAATGGGACCCAGACATTGAATGCCAATTGGGAAGAGAGACACAACAAAAAAATAACAGCCCTATTCCAGGCATGTCATTGTTGTTGAAGCTTGGAAAGCTAACAGAACATTGACATGTTACAATGGCCCCATCAGACAGCTGGTCCAGGAGGAAAATGGTTCTGATGGTGTATGATGTCTCCTTTTCAAAGGGAAACCATCAGTGATTGTGACATGCTAGAAGCCATCAACAGTCTCCACAGTTAAATGATACTGACTCCTTTTCCCTGGAGTTTCTAAAGACAAAGAAGAACTGTGAATGATTGTTTCAAACCCATTTTGAATACAACTAAACTACAACGCTGTATAGCACATCCAATGGCATGATGGAACAGTGTTTCTTTTAAAGCGAGTATGAGCCAAGACCGGCTAAAACACATCAAACAGAATGCTAGGCGAGGCATTTTGGGGCCGAGGTGTGCAGCCTGTCTAGTGCTTGAAGTCATACTGCTCTGAGAGAGAGAAGAGGAGTGAGACTTTGCTGTCTTTTTAAAGCTGAAGAGTGCAGTGAGAACTTGTTCAATGTCACCAGTGGAATGACTGTGAAGAATAGTTAAGAACAGTTAAAGGTGCTCTCAATCAGCTACCCATCCAGATTATATTCTGTTAGATATGCCCCCCATGATTTTGCAGTTACAGTAATTTCTGTAACATGTTAATCAGCTACTGTGCAGAATATGTGTTAGATATATTTTATGTTTTAGATATATCATATTATTATGAGTTACATGTGATATACATGTCCCAGATATTTTGTAGTTTCAGTAATTTCTGTAACATTTTACATCATGTATGTATCATTTAATCATGTAAATAAAGTCTGGTTGACCCACCCAGAATCACTTTGTTGAATGCATATGAGTGCTACCTACAGTCTGATAGGTGTTATCTAGATCTATGCAGCAAATCAGCCTCCTCAAATCAGCCTGTGTTCACACACTATTTGTGCCAGGCAAGCTAAATCAAGCCCAGATGTAGTATTTTAAATTATTTTAAATAGTACTTGAACCCAGGTCTGATACAGTATGCTGATCAGCCTCACACATCAGACAGACAGTTAGCTGATCAGGCTCACACATCAGACAGACAGTTAGCTGATCAGCCTCACACATCAGACAGACAGTTAGATGATCAGCCTCACACATCAGACAGACAGTAAGCTGATCAGCCTCACACATCAGACAGGCAGTTTGCTGTCTATCTTGATCAGACCACAGAGTGACAGCCAGGTAGGTGCTGACACACACTTGACAAGGCTGTTGGTTGGCAGGCTTCAATAAGACATCACAGCAGCACAATGAGACCAGGGCAGAGGAAGATGACTAATGACTGTACTGGCTGGATGGAACAAGGCCATGGTGCTCTGCTTCAGATATTTACATTTTAGTCATTTAGCAGACGCTCTTATCCAGAGCGACTTACAGTTAGTGAGTGCATACATTTTCATACTGGCCCCCCGTGGGAAACGAACCCACAACCCTGGCGTTGCAAGCGCCATGCTCTACCAACTGAGCTACACAGGGGACTATAAATAAGATAAACACCAGCACCACTCCACAGGACGCCAGACCATGCACAATAAAATGCACACCGCTCTGCTCCACTCCAATGAATACAAAGGAGCTCTCTGTTAAATAAATAAACATTAAAATGTATTAAAAACACATATAAAATGGAAATTATCTCTTCGGAAGCCCAAACCTAGGGGTATAAAATTTTTTAGTTTAAATAAGACAACTTTTTAAGCAAATGGTGGGCAGCTAGATTGCTACAGGAGTGCTCTTGGCAAGAACATCATAAGCTCTGGCGAAACATTAAATATGATCAGGCAGTTAAATGCAAACTGACACGTCAAGGGTTCACAACAGCGGCAGTGAGAGGCAGTCGAATAGCATATCTAAACTTAATACAAGCCAACATAACAAAGGGATCCATTTTTATAATTCATGGTTCAGCACACAATGAATGCACTCTCTCCCTCCACCGGTGAATATAGAAGAGGTATACATAAGAAATAAGATTCATCTGTTCCTGGGGATTCTCTGGAGTGCTTTTGAAATGTGATACAGCACAAATAATAAAGGAGAACCTTTACATGAGTGCATTAAATGAGATTTGGGGGGGGGGGGATTGAGATCTGTTAAAAAAAAGCTGGAGCTTTGATTTGACCTCCAGAGTAGAGTGGGGATATAAGCAGACATGATGCGTGCCGCCAACGCCACCATGCCTCGCATTGCCACCCAGGATGGAGGCGCAGATCACCTAATGCCCGGTAGATGCCGTATGCAAAATTAATTCCTACCTACCACCCACCTGTATTATGTACTGTAACAACACAAAGTGTTGACTTAATTTAAAGTAAATGTAATAAGAAGTGCCCTTGTCTGGCTGGTAATATATGCATGTGTGCGTATGTGAATATTTATGCCTGGACACCATGGCGACCATACTTCATGGTTATTTGCATCGAATATACAGTGCCTTGCAAAAGTATTCATCCCCCTTGGCATTTTTCCTATTTTGTTCCATTACAACCTGTAATTTAAATTGATTTTTATTTGGATTTCATGTAATGGACATACACAAAATAGTCCAAATTGGTGAAGTGAAATAAAAAAAAATACTTATATTTTGCATCTTCAAAGTGGTAGGCATGTTGTGTAAATCAAATGATACAAACCCCCAAAAAATCCATTTTAATTCCAGGTTGTACGGCAACAAAATAGGAAAAATGACAAGGGGGGTGAATACTTTCGCAACAGTATGTCTAGGTGGACATTGCAAACAACATTTATTTATCTCTCTCTCTGTCTCTCTCTCTCTCAATTCAATTTCAATTTAAGGGCTTTATTGGCATGGGAAACGTATGTTAACATTGCCAAAGCAAATGAAGTAGATAGTAAACAAAAGTGAAATAAACAATAAATATTAACAGTAAACATTACACTCAGAAGTTTCAAAAGAATAAAGTCTCTCTCTCTCACACACACACACACACACACACACACACACACACAGACCTTCGTTCACTACCATAGACAGCCATTACCTTCCATTTTTTTTATACAAAATAAATATTAAAACAGTTTTTTTCCTCACAGTCCAAGACTAATGAAACACAATATTATAAAGGCATTGAAGAGCTATATCCAGCCCCACTCCACTGCTGTTGGGTCCACCCTTGAGAACCCAAAGTGCATTAGCGTGTGATGAAGCCAAAATGAGGCCAGAGACAGAGATGATCTGGAGATCCTTGGAGAGAGAGAGGGGCATCAGGATGAGGCTGGGCTCGTCCCTGTGTGTCCTCACTACCCAAAGCATCAGCCTTAATCCTATCTCTCTGTCCCAAAGCCCCCACAAGCCATACATCTTATCAACTTAATGTTGAGCCTGTGTGACTCTTTTTCCATACATACAGTATGTTAACACCGACAACTAACATTGTTCTGTCATGCTGAGTACGATTGTCATGTTTTGGCCATGCTCTCTTTTTCACAACTCAAACTGAAATACAAAACAATATTTACATACTAGAAAAAGACTGGAATGTAAACTGAATATTAAATGAAATATCACATTTACATAAGTATTCAGACCCTTTACTCAGTACTTTGTTGAAGCACCTTTGGCAGTGATTACAGCCTCGAGTCTTCTTGGGTATGACTCTACAAGCTTGGCACACCTCTATTTGGGGAGTTTCTCCCATCTTCTCTGCAGACCCTCTCAAGCTCTGTCAGGTTGGATGGGGAGCGTCACTGCACAGCTATTTTCAGGTCTCTCCAGAGATGTTTGTTCGGGTTCAAGTCCGGGCTCTGGCGGGGCCACTCAAGGACATTCAGAGACTTGTCCCGAAGCCACTCCTGTGTTGTCTTGGCTGTGTGCTTAGGGTAATTGTCCTGTTGGAAGGTGAACCTTCGCCCCCAGTCTGAGGTCCTGAGCGCTCTGGAGCAGGTTTTCATCAAGGATCTCTCTGTACTTTGATCCGTTCATCTTTCCCTCGATTCTGACTAGTCTCCCAGTCCCTGCCACTGAAAAACATCCCCACAGCATGATGCTGCCACAACCGTGCTTCACCGTAGGGATGGTGCCAGGTTTCCTCCAGATGTGACGCTTGGCATTCAGGCCAAAGAGTTCAATCTTTCATCAGACCAGAGAATCTTGTTTCTCATGGTCTGAGAGTCCTTTAGGTGCCTTTTGGCAAACTCCAAGCGGGCTGTCATGTGCCTTTTACTGAGGAGTAGCTTTCGTCTGGCCACTCTACCATAAATAATAATATAATATGCCATTTAGCAGACGCTTTTATCCAAAGCGACTTACAGTCATGCGTGCATACATTTTTGTGTATGGGTGGTCCCGGGGATCGAACCCACTACCTTGGCGTTACAAGCGCCGTGCTCTACCAGCTGAGCTACAGAGGACCCATAAAGGCCTGATTGGTGGAGTGCTGCAGAGATGTGTTCTAGGGGACCTTCAATGCTGCAGACATTTTTTGGTACCCTTCCCCAGATCTGTGCCTCGACACAATCCTGTCTCGGAGCGCTACAGACAATTCCTTCGACCTCATGGCTTGGTTTTTGCTCTGACATGCACTGTCAACTGGGGACCTTATATAGAGAGGTGTGTGCCTTTCCAAATCATGTCCAATCAATTGGATTTACCACAGGTGGACTCCAATCAAGTTGTAGAAACATCTCAAGGATGATCAATGGAAACAGGATGCACCTAAACTCAATTTCGCAAAGGGTCTGAATACTTATGTAAATAAGGAATTTCAGATTTTAATTTTTAATAAATTTGCAAACATTTCTAAAAACCTGTTTTCACTTTGTCATTATGGGGTATTGTGTGTAGATTGATGAGGGAAAAAACTATTTAATCCATTTTAGAATAAGGCTGTAACGTAACAAAATGTGGAAAAAGTCAAGGGGTCTGAATACTTTCCGAATGCACTGTATAACAATATACGGCTGTGGGGGTGTGAATTATAGGATATCTGTGGCTCGGCCACCATGCCTCTGGGTCTTACCTTATAGCCTGAAGACTTGATGTGGACGCCTCTCTTGGTCAGTGTGGACTTCATACGGATGAAGAAGGAGCGCTCTAGAGTGTTGTCTGGGGGCAGCATGGTGGGGCTGGTCGACTCGACTGTGGAGGCAAACACACACACACACACACACACACACACACACAATTACTTAACATTACTTGGCCAATACATCTGTGTGTTTTGTAGTAAAGCCCAGGAGAGGTGGGGCGATATTAAAAACTCCAGCTGGTAAGACAGGCTAGCTGTAATAACTTTTAATTGAGTTTCTATCATCTCCCAGGTAATAGTCTAATGGAAAAAGAACACATAAATAAAAACAACACATTACCATTAAACAATGTTTTTATTATGTTCTGTAATAGCGTACAACCTCTGTTTGGACTAACACCATAATTGGTGAAAACATTTTATTGGAAGTTCAGTGGCAGTTAAAAAGTCAACTGCATGTTTCTCTTCATTGAGCCCAAGTGTAGTATTTATCTTCCAAGTACAATATTGCAATTTCATGTCATGAGAGTTATATTATTATACCTATTAGAGTTAACTCAAGTTTATTTTATTTTATACTGTATGCAGAGTTAATCTAATTGTAAACAAAGATATTCATTGTTGCTTCAACAAAGTTCAAAGATCTTAAGTCAATTCTAAACATAGATCATCACATTAAAACCCCATAACCAATGAGGTCAGTCAGTCTCGTTAACAAAACACAACAAAGATACCTAGGTAAAGGTGAAACGGTCCATTTGTCACTCCGTGCTCCTGATCAATGCTTAATGATCAAATTCATATTTAAAACATTCAATCCATAAGGGGAGGTAATATACTGTAGATGTAGTCATGCCAGCTCCTCCTGATCTCCCTGACTGTGTGTGTGATATGTCTCCTGAGTGGCGCAGTGGTCTAAGGCACTGCATCGCAGTGCTAGCTGTGCCACTAGAGATCCTGGTTCGAATCCAGGCTCTGTCGCAGCCGGCCGTGACCGGGAGACCCATGGGGCGGCGCGCAATTGGCCCAGGGTAGGGGAGGGAATGGCCGGCAGGGATGTAGCTAAGTTGATAGAGCATGGCGTTTGCAACGCCAGGGTTGTGGGTTCGATTCCCACAGGGGGTATAAAAAATAATAATAATGTAAGTCGCTCTGGATAAGAGCGTCTGCTAAATGACGTAAATGTAATCTAAATGTAATGTGTGTTTGTTAGATTGACATTTCCCCTCTGCCTGTGGTCATGAAGGTAGAAGCTGTGAGAGAGGTGGCCCTAGCAAAGATTCAACATCTGCTTGCAAATGTGCATCTCTCAAAGAAGGTTCTGAGGGATGTGAATAACAAAACTGTGATGAGAAAGTGGCTATGCTTAAAAACACACACCACACGTGACATTGTCTTCCTGAGCCAAAGAGAGGGGGGTTTAGGTGTCCTGAATATTGTGTGGATTTACACTGCTACCAGACTGATTCACCTGTTGAACATGCTCAACACTGTCGATGTGACAGTTAAGGAGTTAGCCAGAGCATCCCTCCTTCTGGACCTACGGAGGAGGAAGGTTCCACTGGCCAGGGACGCTGAGGACAACTTCCTGGGCTTCAAGGAAAATTGAACACTTGTGCTACGGCCTTTGGAGTCTGGTCAGACTGGCCTGACCTCAATGACCTGTGCAACCGGACTGGAGTGGAGCTCAGGTGGACACGGACTGATATGCAAACTGAGTCAGTGACTGCCTCTGATGCAGTTGTGGCAGATTGCGGTGTTGTTGTGGAGGCTTCGGTCACTCCTTGGTATCAGACAGATGCAACACTGGACTGGCCTGAGGCTGAAGGGGAAACTCTCTGCTCTGGACTGTGCTCCCATTCCATGTACCAGAATGCGGCTGTTGGCGAGGACATTCTCACCTTTACTGTTAAGGTGAGGCTGCAAGTTCTACAAACAAGTCCATTGCCCATGTTGTGAATTGCTGCTGTTCATACAAGGATTTTTACATTGCTAGACATGACCGCCTTTTTGACCTGATCGCCAGCGAGGTGAGACAAGTAGTCTCACCAACAGCACACATGCTTAAACATGATTGTGTAAGGGGAATCTGGTTTGATGTTGATGATGATGTGTTTTCCTGTGTGCCAAATCCGCCAGATATTGTTGTTGTGGGGGGAAGCCAGGGGAAGGTGCTCATTTTAGAAGTTGGCTGCTCATTTGACGGCTACATGGAGCAGGCCTTTGCCGAGAAGCTGCTTAAATACCTGCCCCTCGTGGCTGGTGACACTGATATTTGGCAGTCTCGGCCACGTACACAGGCTTGCAGTGCATGGCCTCCAGATTGCGGGCCTGACAAAAACTAGGGCAAAGCAATTGGCTAGGTACTGCTCTGTTTCAGCTGTCGTGGGCAGCATAGCTGTTTGGAGAAGGAGGTGCTTTCTGTACCCTTGAGTGCCATGCATACAGGGACCTTTGAAATGTTTGGATCCTTTTTTTGTGAATTTGATTGGCGGATTCAAATAAAGTATTTAAAGTGTGTGTGTGTGTGTGTGTGTGTGTGTGTGTGTGTGTGTGTGGTGTGTGTCTCCCGGACTGTCTCTGTCCCCAGAGCTGGACAGGACATTAAATATAGACAGGCCCCTGTGAGTGATGTCTGGAGGTCTTCAAACACCACTTTACACTACAGACAGGCAGACAGGCAGACAGGCAGACAGGCAGGCAGGCAGACAGGCAGACAGGCAGACAGACAGGTAGAGAGGCAGACAGGCAGACAGACAGACAGACAGGCACACAGTGATATGACGATGCCCAGCTCACAGGCAACTCAGCCACACAGCCATGGACAAGGCTAGGAGATAACATTGAAATGGGATTACTAAAACAGTACACCTGGAAAATCCTTTTTTTCTGCTACTCTCCATATAACAAGGCTGCAGTGAGGCTCTCTAGAACTGGAAACAACGTGATCAGTATGAAGGAGGAGGGTGGGGATGGAGGGATGGAGGGATGAGGGAGGGGTGACGGTGAGGAGGCTGGGGGGAGGGCGTGAGGCGTGGTGGCGGCGGCTGCCATTATCTTTTTTTTCTCTTCTTTACTGAGGAATTAAATGTAATTTTAAATCTATCTCTGGGGAGAAGCCAGAGTCATGTTATATTTAGTAATTTTATTTCTTCTGATTAAATGTGAATTACTATGACATCATCTAACACAGCAGAATACACCAACAGCTTTTTAATACACTGCATAAGCAGCAGTAGCAACTCTAAGAGTTTCATTCGCCTCTCTAATCCAATCACATCAACCTTATTTCTCTTATCACAGATTCCCATTTTGAATTAAGTGAGCTCATTAGTTTTAATCAAAGGCAGAGAGATCAAAACTTACACTTAAATTCTTTAGATCAGATCTGCCAGTCAGCCGCAGAGTTCTATTTTACTAAAACGCAAGATCAGAGCCTCTTAGAACTGAGAATTTTCCTTAGGGAAGGAGGGAATTCACAAGCCAACCAACCGACTGGCCTTAAAGGCACAGGAATCTTTTTTCACCCTACCGACGTCTAACTAAAGCAACCAATCAGGTTAATTTATGAGGGGTTGGGGGATGGTGGTGTGTTTCACCACCAGTCGGCTTCTGTTAGTTGGCGGTTATGATGTGAATGTGAATTATAGACTGGGCAATTTACGAGTCAGACACGTCGGATGCCATTGCAATACTTTCTTCATCCAACTAATGCTAATATGAGCTCTGTTGGAGTATTACTCTGGGTATTAGAGTGCGGAGAGTTATCAGGAACACTTTGGGGATAGGGTGCCATTTGGGACATACACAGAGACCAATGAACAGTTTTGACACTGCACAGGAGAATAATGATATACTGTATGTATCTGTTATAGGGTTATAATACATTAAGCACTGTGTTAACATGTAAAAACTATAGAGCGATTACCACCTAACAGTGTGGTTATGCTTCCCACAGTATTGCGATCTATGCATGTTTATGTTGATAGTACAAAGAAGGCATGGCCTACAGCGTGAGAGGAAGTGAATGTAGCCAACCTCATTTACATGTAGAGTACCAGTCAAACCAAACATCAAGTACCAGGGCACTTTGGAGTGAAATGTGAAACTAGAAACTTCAATCCCTGGATCTCATATAAAAATGACACCTTTTAAAGAAGAATTCTTAAGAAGGAAAATAAATAATAATTTGTGAGCATTATTTATGGTTTGGCAGGGGTCTGCCGGTCTCCATTTATTTTCCTGATGAAAGCCCTCAGAATGAACCACCTCTGTGTGTAAGTGATGAGATTTTAAAAGTATTACTTTCTGTGCTGTGATGGTGAGTGTTGACCATCATCAATAACTCACTGGCAGTTCTTTAGCCCCCCGTTGCCCCACTCCTCTCCCTGACAACCCCCATCACCATCACCATACCCTTTCTACACACCAGAGACAACTCAGAGGAGGAAGCTCCTACAAAGCAAGACACTGCTACAAATGACATGCTTATACTGTATGACTTATACGCCTAAGTGAGGCTCCCCTACTCCGCTTGCTAATATTCCAAATACATTTATATAAATATTAGTACCAATTCAAAGCGTCAAGCATTTAACGTACAGATACATCAAGATAAAGTGTATGGCCCATGGCCCAGTTTGTCTGTTCTCCATCTATAGACACTGGGAGGTCCTTGTCTGGCCCTGCTCTGATGAATGCGTGCGTCTCTCTGTACATTAGTAATGATAGATTATGTACCAGGCCGTGTACTAATTGGAAGGTAGAGGGTGATTTTTCAATACAGCTCACCCATGTGTGTGGGAGAGATAGTGTGTCGGTGTGTGTGTGTGTGTGTATGAGAGAGAGAGTCAGTGTGTGTGTGTGTGTGTGTGTGTGTGTGTGTATGTGTATGTGTGTGTGTGTGTGTGTGTGTGTGTGTGTGTGTGTGTGTGTGTGTGTGTGTGTGTGTGAGAGAGAGAGTGTGTGTTTGTGAGCGAGCGTGTGTGTGTAAGTGGGATGTGAAACATACAGAGAGGGACTTGTATTGCATTGGCAGCTTTAATAATTAGAGGGTGACAGGAAATATGTCGTCAGGCACCGTCACTTGTGCCTGTCTCCTCTCATCT